ACGGCAGACTCCCACATCTTCTTCCCGTCGCGCATGACAGGCCGGCTGAAGCAATCGACCTGGCCACGGAAGCAATGAACTGAACCGGACTCAAGCACTTGTTGTAAAGCTCAACTCGTAGTTTTTCCAGCCTCCCACTGGGAGGAGACTGCACCCCAGTCAAGGTCCTCTGGGACCTCCGACTTCCTGAGGTGAGACATTTCAGGCATGCAGAAGATGGCAAGAAATATGCAGTGTGGAAAGACGGCTTCGGTGAGAAGAACTCAGCGAGTGCCCTAGAAGCTTCGTGTACTTCGGCTCGGGCCCTCGGAGCTGAGCCCTGGACTTGGCAATCTCCCCGTCCTTCGTCTTCGTCGCTTGCATAGCGACACCTCAGCCATTGTGGCCGTTGATGGCCGTTGCCAGCTGCAAGACTGGCTCAACTTTATAAAGGCTGACTCAGCTGAGTTCAAGAACATCTGATGCCCTTGCCCGCGCTGACTTTCGATGATCCTCGGCACTCGGCACTTGCGGCTAGACAGGTGACGCTTTTCCAAAGCGACCCGAGCATTGAGACCTGTCAGTTGATCCACTGCGCCGTAATCCCGCCAAGCGCAAAGCCCACAACACGAACAACTCTGGCAACCAGTCATCAAGCAGACCAGTGTTACGCTAGCCGGTCTCCATTTTACCCCGACGAGTCCCACGAGTCATGCTGCCAGGCCGCCACCTCTTCGGACGAAAGCCGGGACCAAAGCTGCCAACGCCACGAGACTCGTCAGGAGCTGTTGTCGCGATTACAGGGCTCTTACTTCATACGATCGTTATCTATTCTCCAGTGTTGAAGCAAGCTCGACATGTAAGCCAAAACCTACCCTGCCAGTGCATCGACGGCTCAGCCTGCCTGAGGCTCTTGGAGAACAGTGGCAACTCCTTCCGGCGACTTAACTCCAGAGCATTTCAGGCTGCTGGTACGGTCGAGCTGCATTCCTAACCTGAAACCGGTGGCCCAAATATGAGCAAGCCTGGGCCTCAAGCGTCTACTGCCTACTCAACTGGTTCTTCTCATGGCGGGACTGCCTGACTCGTGACCATGCAGCCACAACATGCTACCACTACCTGCACAACCAAAAGGGCCCTGCTTTCCATTGCTTTCCTGAAGCGATCACCCCCTGCTGTTTGATGGGCTGAGAATGGGCCCGCCTCTGTAAACCCCGTCGGGCCAGAGGTTGGCCCTGTCAAAACTGCGGGCCTCAGCTGTGCTGGTGGTTCCCGTATAAGAAGCTGCGAGGGAAGCTGCTACAAATTCATTTCCCTTCTACATGTTGCTTGTATAGGAGTGCTGTAGACCGGGGAGGTACGCTCCAATTACCGTGTAAACAGACTCTTTAAAGGGTACTTTGACCGTACCTTTACCATCTACAGCACTGGTATAGAAGCAAGTCTTGATTTAAATGACCTAAATTCCAGAGAGCTGTCCAAGCCCGACGCCGTGCGGCCACTGTGCCAGTGGAGCTGCTAGGGCTGCCTGGCTGCCTCGCTCTTTGCCGGCAACATACGATCCACCCATTGGAGAAGTTGCTTTTGCTCGCTTGGCATTTGCAATGCGCACTGTTGCAAGGCCTAGGCAGCACGAAAGCCAACGAGGATGCTGCAAGTGCCTCGGCGGTAAACCACTAATCAAATCTTCTGAAGGCGAGTTGAAAAAAGGAGCCGCAACACTGGCCAAAAGCATAAAAGTGCTCGTCATGTTCCAACAGAGCAAATCTCAGATGCAAGCCAGGCATAAGGCCAGTGATCCAGCCGCAGACCGTTTGGGAGAGTCCATCATACTGGGTATCAATCCTGAGGGCTACTTTGCACAACGTTCAGAGTATAGCGCATGTGCTCGTTGTGCTGCTTCGATCTGACGGTGCTTGGTGGCGTGTGCTGAAGACCTCTTGACTCCGTGCAGTACTGCTTAAGGTACCGATGCTTAGCCAGAGGCTTCACAGACAGTGGGGCGGCGCAGCGCGGGGTGCATCAGGGACATCCATTGCAGTCTCGACTTCTCAGCGGGGAGCAGCATGAAGCCCGAGCTCCGAGCTCCGATCACAGAGTCGGCAGAGTGTTCGTACTCAGAGAAATGCCATGGCCGCTTATTTTCAACCCGCAGGATGTGGCTGCTGGCCTCCAGGGGATTCTGGGCTCCTTGGACATGGGAAGGCTAAAGTCACCATAATCCTGAAAATCAAAATGGTTCCCAAAACTGTCCCACAACACACCCAGTGCCCGACAACCCAACATCATGAAAGAGTCCACTCACCTGGAGCTTTTCCTTAAGACAACTCGATTCTAGATATCCTTAAATCAACCTCTCTCGCTCTGTGCATCCTTTGTTCTCCCTCTCCCGTCGTTGTCCTCGTCTCCGAGGCCCTCTCCCCCAAAGAAGCGCCAGGCGGCCAGGGAAGCGGGACCTGGCTCCAGCCCACGGCCCGACCGGCCCGACCCGCGGGCCGCAAAGGGAAGCGCGAGAAGACTCCTTGCGAACCTAGCGGCTGCAACTTTGGGCGCAAGCTCCGGCATCTCCTGCACCAACAGGGCATGCCCAGCACCTTCATCTGGAATCTAGTGCTCCTCCCTACTTAATCCTGTACAGCATGGCTATGTGCAGGTTGTCATGTTTGTTCTGGCTGTTGCATGTGGCATACTTCGTGCCTCCAGCACTACAGCATTGCGTGTGTGATGACAACACTGCGCTTAATTGAAGGACCAACACCGGAAGCTGCGTCCCACATGGTCTCCTCTTGGAGGAGGCCGCTGGGTGTGGGATCGAAGAGGCCCTCAACAGGCGAGAGTCTGGATCTGTCTGGTACTGCGAAAAACCGGCATCGCGTCGCATCGCTTGGGTCCAGGCTGCCAGTGAAGCGTCAGCGCTCGGAAGACGTGGACTCCTCTCAGCGCATGCTCCAACTGCAGACGCGCTTTGTCCGTTCTTTACGCTTCGACCACTCCTCAAGTCGGTGCCTGCAGGGCTGCACTCGGCGGGCTCGAAGGATAGCAAGTCCATTGCGACTTTGTCCTTATCGCTGGCTGAGCCGTGAGCCAACTCCAACATCTCCTACAGTCTCAGCGGAGGAGCCGTGTTGGACAGCTTTGTGCTGCAAAGTTGCAGGACTGGCGCCCAGTGTTTCTGCACCTGAATGGCTGGCGAGCCTGGGGTCTCAGCAAAAGCATCAGCCACCCAGCCATCCTTCTGACGAAGGGGAAAGAGCGGCAGCACGTAATGTATTGGCAGCAAGATTAAAGCCAAGCGACATCCCACTGCCTTCTTTGGGCATCTCCAAGATGTCGATTTTTGATTTTGCCTTCGCAGCACGGCATTCGAGGCTTCAAGACTCCAAAACCACGTAACAACCCCAGCACCTTCGCAAGCGGGTCCAGTTCTTCCAGCTTTGGCCTTGGACGCTCGCGACATATCTCGGATGCAGCAAGCACCTCTTCAGAGACCACTGCTGGGGCTGGGACAAGCTCTCAGCCACTATGAGATTCACCTGCAACCGGTGCTAAAGTCTCTTGTACACTCGGACCACTGTCGCCAGATCAGACCCTCATCAACACCCCGATGGCCCTAACAAGTTTGAGCAACCTCCACGGCATTGGGGCCTCGTCGGCATCGACATTCGCCTCCTCCTCCATCTCGTAAGATGCAAAGCTGAGTTCGGCCTACCAATTTGGTTATGCAAGCACACGTCTCTAGTTCTTCTGAAATACAGCAAGGAGACATGCGAAGTCACAGAGCACCTGAGTCTCGTCCGGCTGTTGATCTAGAAGCTGCTCAAAGCTGGGGAGTTGGGACAGCAGCGCCTCCCAAGACGAGCTGGTCTGGGTCTACAGGAAGAGGAGTCTCTGTGTGAGGCCTCCGGTTCTTCGCCCCATGTCACCAAGCCGGGCTTCTCCTGCTCTGTAACGAGGGATGTTTTGGGTCAGGGAAGGCCCTTGTGATCCGGCATTGAGGCAACCAGCCCTCCACTTCTTGCCCAGTACAAAATCACATGTTCAGACACGCCAATGTCCTACGATCCTATAGTGGGGAAAAACGCTGCGTGGGATATTGGTGCGCATGTTCAGAAATGTGCCTATGTAGATGCCAGCTGCCAGGTTTTCAGAGACGTAGCTTCAGCAAGGCACCGCTATTTGGCTTGGATTAACAAATCAGAAATCTCCAAACCATCTCCGACAACAAACCTTGTCTAGCACCTAAAACCCTCAAAGAACGCCAATCCCTCAGCCTTTCACGCCCTCACCCAAATCCGAAACTTTTACACCAAATAAACCCTGTTCAAAACGTGAACACAAGGTTTGTCGAACACAGATTGATGTGTGCTTTAGGCCTTTGTGTCGATGTTACGATACTGCCTTTGCGATCGCTCAGTGTTGAGCTATTCCGACCCCCGACCAAGTAAGACGGTGGGTGAAGAAACGAGGGAAGAAAGAACAAGAAAGACAGGGTTTGGGCACACGTCCGAAGTAAACCCAGGCCCAAACCCGAAGTTCAAGCACGCAGGGCCATGCCTATTTTCATTTTCATTTTGTACTGACTAACTGACTGACTGAGTAATACAATCAGACAAAGAGCAGGGAAGCAAAGAAGCAAGCAAACAAACAAACACACAGACCGACAAACAATAACACAAGCTAATAAGAAGGGAACAAGCAAACAAAAATCAAAACGAACAGATAAATAGCAAACAGTTACCCAACAAACGAACACACATGCGTTCGCACGCACCATACGCGACATATTGCTTCATTTCGGGCTTCGACTTGTGATGGCATCTTCATGTGGGCGGATATTGGAGTATGAAGAAGTGCCACATCAATTGTAGCCAGGATGTCCTCTTCGAGGGAGCTGTGCATGAAACATCCAGTTCGCCGCTTGCTTTTGGCGCTGCAGCGCTCTTGAGGACAAAGACATCGCTTGTTGCCCAACTGTATCCCACTGTCACACTTTATAAAGCTGCCCTCTCCGACATTGCTTTTTAAAGCCCGTGTGGGGGAATGACCAAAACAGATACCGGCCCTGCACAAACGAATCGCTCCCGCGACGGTGGCGCTTCCGGGATGCCGCTGCTTGCTGTTGCATCGCTGTCTCCATCGGTGGCACAGAGCTCGCGGTACGTCGGAGGACTGGAACCTTTACAGTATTACAGGATGAGGCGTTGGGTCTGGTGTGTAGATGCACTTCTCCCATCAAGTGGTTGCACAACTAGCAGCTTTCACCCCGTGAATAGAGCTTCTCTTGTGGAGGGTGTGACCCGTTGGCAAGAAGTCACTTCAAAAGCATGCCACTGCCAAACATCCTTTCTGTGCCGTGGCCGGCATGTAACGGATCTTCTTTCACTGTGCTTTGTGACAGAAATCTTTCTTTACGAGACAAAACATGACACATGTTCTTGCTGCTTCGAACGGAGGCACTTTCTAAAGGGCCTTCAGCTGACAACCCTCAGCAACCCCTCCTCCAAAGCCTACAGGCTGCAATTGAGGCCTGTGTGAACAAACCACTCAAGCTCAGCAAACAGCACACGGAGCACCCTGGTGCCTGCGGCTGCCGACAGGACTTCTGCGAGGTCCGGGACGCGGCTGCGCTGCGAACTGGGCGGCTCCTTTCCCAGCGATGTCAGCAGTTTGGGGTTTGCGGGAATTCACGACTTGATGAGGCCGCTAACAAGCCCTTGACCAAATGAGCTACTTCCACTCGGCCACTATGCAACAGCAGGAACAACAAGCTACAACAATGGAATTCATGTTGGATTAATTTTGCACGAACGTCTCCAAGCAGCAACATGCTCCAAGACATGCTGCGCATGCGTCTGCGAGTCACCCAGTAGTCGATACCCCTTCCAGCCTTCTCCTCACTCAGGTCCAGCAGATCCTCCATGGGGCGGGCCACGACTGTGGCACCTGCTACAAAAACAAGCTGCGAGGGCGTTGGGGCTTTGAAGAGACACGAGCGATGGGAAGAAACTCCTAGCTTGCGTGTGTGGCAATGGCAATCGGCACCTCCGGAGCTGGATGCAGCTGCGGGGGTGTTGTCCTTCCTTCAGAGACTTTGAGGCTTCGTGCTAACTCCGAGTTCGAGCCACTCAGAACGCCTTCAGCTTTGAGCCTCAAACGAAACTAATGCCATTGCCTTAGCCAAGAAGCTGTGGGGTGCTGCTCGGCGGCGAGAGCCGCGGCACCGGTGGCGTGCGCTGCGGGCTCGGCGCACCGGGCATCCCTGGCCATGAAGAGTGGAGGCAGCAGAAGGGGTTTTGACGAGTCTGGATCCGTGGCTCCTTCGCTTTGGGTCGTGTGTATTTTCGCATAGGTTGGGAATGGCTCACGGCTTCCAGTGATTGAGATTAGCAGCTACAGCATGTTGCTCGATGTCATTGTTCAGCACAGCGTGACCTCATCTGATGTCGGGGACTTGCAGCATCTCTAAACTGTGCTTGCTGCATCATGCTGGCTGCTGCACCCCCGAACATCGGCATCATGTCCTGGTACTTCAAATTACCCAATATTATGCCCGAATTATGCGTCACGTCTCGTCATGCCACAACATAACCGTCTGTGTCATGCCATCATCATCAACAGCAGCATCATCATCTCGTCGTCTTCGCAGTCTTCACCCAGTCTTGTCAATGACTGCTCTCGGTTCTTGCAAAATCTGGCACAGTGCAGGACTTGCATTCCCGGGTGGTGTCGGTTCTTTCGGTCTTTCGCAGAAGTACAATCTCGCCCCTCCCCGCCTGATGGCCGCCACTCGCTGATGGGCACTCTTCCGGCACTCTGTCGGAGAGCATGGATTCGCCCCTGCCCATGCAGGATTCGGGATTACAAGACCCTCCGCAGCTGCCACAACCAGTCTGCAAAGTCAAGCCCAAACATCTTTCTCGAACAATGCTGGCGCCTCGGGAGGGCCAGGATCAACACGAAGCCTGCTGACAGGTCAGTATTATAGTGCCGGAATGGACACTTCTGCACATCACGTGCTTGCTTAACCGCAAACATCAATCCTACGAGCATGGATCTTGGAGACCGTTCGATTTCCCTGCTTATCCCAGAAAGCAGAATCCTCCGAGCTCGCCTCCGCCACTTCTGCTCAAACTCTTCTCGGAAAGAGGCTCTGCCCCTGTCCTCCGAAATCGCGCAAAACTGAGAGCTGAGGGAGTCAGCACAGCGATGCTAGACTGGAAATTCCGCGAAAGATTTGTAAGGCAACATTCAAACGCTGACATCTCCAAAAGTTGCAGCTTGCCAGGGTGCCCCATCAACAGAAACCCGGAGGCCTTGAAACTATGCTGCACATCACGTGAAACTTTGCGTGCGATGGCCACATTGTCGGCCTTGGCGATCGATCTACTCAGTGTCAGGGCCGGTGGGTGACGAGGAAGAGCAAAGCTTTGGATGAGAATGCATACATGAAGAGATTTCGAGCCCACGGCAGAATGGAATTCTACTTACCCCTTGAATTGAATCTGCTGGCATGTGGCAGTATACAGCGAAATCCATCCAATGAAGCCATCCACGGTGCGAACCCTTGCACGCCTCCCAACCTGCATCGGCGCATTGCTACTTCACGGCTTGGGAGATACGACTGGCCCTTCCCTAAACAGCTTGGCAGCACTTTGCAATTCAGCATTGCCTCTTGCAAGAGGAGCACCCTCTCACCGCAGTGGACCACGGCCACTTCTGCCGAATTCAGCTCGCAGCTCTCACGTAACATAGCGCCTCCCACGTACCTTGAGGCAGAGGACCAGGTCATACCCGCAGCACAAGACCCGCCCAACATTGCACTCCAAGCCACACCAGCTCCAACACCTCACCGGGAGGGCGCGAGTCCTTGCACAGAAACGGATTGAGCTGCGAACCCCTTTTTTTTCAGACACGCTTTCCCAAAAAGTCCCGCCTGCCACCAGGCGACCAAGGCCTCCCAGCGCTGGGAGAGCCAGGCCAGGGCCGCGAGGCCTCCCAAACGATTTGCCCCAGGGTTTGCCCGCGGGCCTTCAGCGAAGGAGTTCCCGGGTCCCGTCCTCGGCTCTGCGAGCGGCGCTCCCGCGCCGAACGGGGCATCGCGCCATCTCCGCCGGGGCCGGAGATTTCGCTCTCGAGGTAAGAGCTGGGCCCTAGGCGCCGGAGTACTGGGGCTACCACCCCTGTTGCTCGACTGTTGGCTGGACTGGTCGAGTTGCTGGTGATGAGCATTTGGGCCTGAGGACCCGTGCATGCTTCTGTGTCTAGCTTGAACTTCGCTTCCTTTCTTTGGACAAAGACAGCTGGAAGTTCGCGCAGACTAACTGTCCACAATGGAATAGTTCCCGACTGGACGCGCAACAATGATTTTGTGACTTTTTTGCCGCACGATCGGAACTGGCAGCAGCCTGCAAGCCGACCTCCACAAGCCCCGGCCCTCTGGGATGCTGATGATGGCCCTAAGTCGGCCTAGTCCACCAGCTCGAACTCCAGGACGAACTTGCTGTTCTTCACTGCAGCCTCACATGCCACGAGAAGTGCCTTTGTGATCTCAAGCTCGTGAGCCCAGGCAGGCGAAGAAACCCCTCCATCAAGGAAGCTCTCCGAAGCACATCGAGGCTCCAGCATTCGGTGATGGCTCAGGTGCCGACACTCCGGATGGATTCATCCGACTCGGTGTCGAGGTGGCTCCGATCTTTGGGAGCCACGCCGTTCCCTAGGTCGAAGGGATCAAGACAAGCAATCTAGCTCCGACAGCCCCTTCTCGAGAGTGCACGTGAAGACTTTTCCTTTGGGAAGGGGGGTTGGTGAGGTCTACCACTACTTGCAGCAGCAGCTCCCTACTGCTACTACTCCGACCACCCTGGGCTTCCAAGCCTGAAGGCCACGGCCTTGGGACGGAGGCCTCTTGCCTGGGCAAGGACCCCACAGGTCTGCAGTCCTCTCACCTCGCCAGCGTGCGGCACCTCTGTCGCGCCGTGAGCTGGTAGAAAGACACAGCGTGGGCCGCGCGATCTGGCAATGGCTTGTCCTTCGGCCTGGGCTGATTACTTTGCAGCGCAGAAAAGTTGACTTGGGAATCTATTGACGCAGTGGCCCGTCCGAATCGCTCGATTGTACTCAAGCTAAGCTGTCGGCAGTGGAATTCGAGCATTCCTGAAAGACCTTGGGCAAAAGGATGAAGCGGATGGGTCGCATCCTCTCCGAGGTCTCCGAGGCATGGGCTCACACTCGTTCTGGAAGCTCCAGTCTTCCATGGCCTGAAAAGACCGGTGAAGGACGCGAAGCGACGAAGGACGGAACGGGCTGATGGATGAGACTTCTCGTTGGGACTTTACCCTCTTCCAATCATACCCTCTCTACCAGGATATCAGTGCTACCACACCACGAGCAAGTGGCGCTGACCCGTGCAGACCATAGGATTAGGCGGCGACTGCGACCACTGAGAAATACAAGTAGCTCTCTTCCAAAGCTTCTGCATAGAGTCCGACCATAAGGCTCTGACCTTGTCGTTGTGTATGGGCCACCACCTGGAACTTGCCACATAAGCAGCATGTGCAGAACATGAATCGGGGCATAGGACTGTCTTAGGCTGAGGGACCAGCCAGAAATTCACAGACAAGGCCAGCGGACCCTCGTCCTTGTGCCAAGACCAAGTCACCGGATGCATCAGCTTCAAAAAACATCAGATCAGCCGCTGGTCAGCCCCCGCAACTTCACACAAGGAACAGCAGCCACATAGCTGAGAGCAGCTCGGGGCCCTGCCTGGATGCCCAAGGAAGGCGGCGTGGACGTCGCCACCCAATGCCAGTGGTAAGCTGGGATGTAGAGCCTGAGCCGGGCTCTGTCAAATGACATGGGGCTATGTTGCAGAAGATGCAGGGAGGCGAGTTTGAAGAAAATGACGTGTGTCTGCCGTTGAAACAAACTGCACGGCAGCCATGTTCTGCTCAGGAGGTATGATGGATCGGAAGGCAAACCGCAAGGATAACCACAATTGACAGTCTGGTATGTGCTGCTGGACCACAACGTCACAACGACTCGGACGTCCAGGAAGCTTGCAGTTTACAACACATGTTCTGTGCAGGGAGCCCGGCGTGTCTCCCTTCCTCAACGTGCCGCGCCGCACGGGGAAGTCCACACGGTCGGGCCATTGCCCCCTGGAGACCTGCCACACGGCCCAATGCAATCACAATGCCTCGTCCAGTGATGCCTTGTCCTGTAACAGAGACTCTCACGGTCATGTGTCGGTCAGCAAACTACAACTCCTCAATACTCCTCGCACCGTATCCTCTGGAACTTTTGATTCGGAGGTGACGTCCGATGATCTGAACTGCTACTTTGGTGCTACCTAGAATCATAAGTGGAACTCTGAAGAGCAAGAAGACAAGACGACACATCCTTGAGAGGTCTCCGGCCTTGCGGTTGGCCTCTGCCGGACGGAAAGGATGCACAGCGCTCTGATCGCTGGTGCATTCCGTTTGCTTCGAGGTGAACCTTGCAGACAGCTCCAGCACCGCAACCGGCTGTTGCGAGGATTGGCATTCAAGCGTTGCGCCCTGATAATGATCTTAAAGTTGAAGCCTCCCTCCCCTCTTCGAGGAACGAGCTCTGTGAAACTCCTGCGAGCTGGTTTCTGATCAGTATGCGAGCTTCACCAATTAAATCTTTAGGGATGTTAGAGTGTCACATAGGTTTGGGGTTTAGGATTAGGACAAACCCGGAGCGCAACAGTGCATTCTCCGCGGCCCGAGGCTGTGGCAGAGTGGAGCCAAGATAGCGCTGGGACGTGGCCGACACGGGCGCCAGCAACCACTGCCTCTGCACCAAACCGCGAAGGAAGGCGAGGATGCGAAAAGATGCAGAAAGTGCTGGAAGGTCCCCTTCTGTGCAGTCCAGCCTCTGCGTGGCATACCTCGTGGAGTTGAGAACGCCATGCTGGCCGGGAGGGACCAGCACAACCTGACACAGCAGAGATTCGGGATTCCCCGCAGCGGTATATCTCCCACCTGCTTCTCGCCTGCAAGCAGAGAATGGAAATTCTCCTGAAAGCTCAGTTTTTGAGCAACAACTTTCAGAACAGTGAACCCGCACCCAGCACTGGGGATCCCAATGCAGGGTCCATGCGGTCGCAGTGGAAGCAGCTGTAGATCATTGTGTCCTGTCATTGATATGTCACACTCCGCGCAACCGCGAAATTTCGGAGGCCATGTTTGATATATGGTAGAGTCTTTCTCTTTGCAGCTCATCACGGGACCATCGTCCTGACCGGGCTCGGGCACGGTTTTCTCGCTCCAGGGCGGATACGGAACGCGCCTGGGCCAGCAGTCAAGTTAGACCGATCACATCCCAATACTGAGTCTGCAGGAAGCCGAAACGAGGCAGCTGCCACGGGGGCCCGTTTGTAGCCCAGATGCGCGAGGAGTTCGGACCTCAAGAGCCGCGCTGATCCCGGACGGATTCCAAGGCGATAACACTTGCATAAGGCTCCGACTAGCCCATCCGGCGATCAGTTTTGGCGCCTTGTCGCATGACACGAAGACTGTCGTACAAAATCATCGCGTGCTATTTGCGGACACCTGTGGCCCCAAGTCCTGCAAGTGTGACCGGGTCCAAAGAGCAGACTATTCGGCTCGGTTCAGCATCGCAAAATAGAGGACAGGTACGCCGATTGCCGTCCAAACCGTCCTTTTGCATCTCCGTCGGCAAGGCATAGGTGTCGTGGGAGAGGTAAAAAGACAGTGGCCTCTGCAAGGAACGACTCTGGAGACATCGGCCAGGAGTTCATCTCAAGGCCAGGACACCAAGTCCCGTATTTTGCACTCCAAGGGCGCAAAGAAGTGGAGCCTAGCTGACATAAACTGTGCGAGTGTCCAGAACATAAGCCACAACAGCTTTGCTCAACAAGTTCACGCAAGCTATTCATGAGGCTGCTGCGGGGAGTCTGCATCCACTGCCAGGAACGGCACGTTTTGAACTGAGACTTCGCCTCATTCTGCTGTTGAAAACTCCAGGCAATGTTGCTACAGTGGCACCATGCAGAGTACACCCTCATGTCAATGTCAGAAACCTTCACCGCCTGCTTCTGAGAAGCTGGGGCCTCTCACACGCCAACCGCCGTCGCAGGTTCTCATGCTTGGCTAGGTCCACACGACCTCAGAACGGAAGGCGGTAAGTCGAACCAGATCAGTTCTATGGTTCAGGCTCCGTGACAGTACCCTACCGCTCAAGAAGGCTACAGTGTCCGTTGCTCTCAGCCTTCTTCTTCACGGAGACGAAGAATCTCTTGCCTCAGCAGCGCGACCTTTTACAGGGCCAAGAACGGCTTCGCCTGACAGATCCTAACAGCCACTCGCCATTGGCCTCGCCTCGCGGAATGCCCAGGCAGGGAGCCGGAGGCGGCCAGGATTAAAGAGGACCTCGGGCTCCCCGGAGTCGTCTCCTTGGCGTTGCAACGCCTATCCAGCTCGCCTCTATCCAGCTACATTGATTCATCGCTTCAAGATTAGACTGCAGCGAGGCTCCAAAATGCATCATCCGGCTATCTGCCGGATCGAAACCCACATCCAGGACCTAGATTTTTCTGTTGGAAGGTACACGGCTGTCTGGTCATCACTGATCATACGTGCCTCGTCCCGCAGGAGGTCGTCCCACCTACTTTTCTGCCAGTTGCGCTCTGCATCGGCAAAGGCTGGCCAGTCGGCGATCAAGCCTTTCACTTCATGATCAATTCCCCGACTTCTGATGCGACATCGACAGCCAAGACTTACCGTGTGGACAGGGCCTTCGATAATCACTGGCTCACTCTTGGCGGCAAATTCTTCGAAGAGCTCCGGGCTTATCTCGTCGGGATACTTGAGCCGTTGAATCTCCTGATGACGGAGAAAAGAAACTTGCCTACGCCAGAGATTGGGAAGCAGTGCACAAGATGCTCTGAGCTATGACTTATGATACTTATGATACAAAAATGCTTTACAAGTAGGTTGGCTCCTTCACGGGCACCTGAAGCTTCGGATCAATGGCCGCGCCATCCATGCTGCAGTGTGTACCGGGCCAAGCTAGGGCTTTATGACTTTATGCTAGCTTGAAACTTCGACCCG